CGAGGTCGCTATTGATGGTTATTGCTTGGCCGCCAACTTATCGGTGGACTCTAGAATCAGGTGGGTCGCATCTCGGTGATGTTGTCTTGACTTCCACTGCCATATCTTGTTGTCCCGGATGACCCCTTCTTACTCACCGCTATATTATTTTTCCCATGACAATAAGCGTCCCGAACCCTCAACAATAGAATCCCATCTAACTGCACCATGCTACCTATTAAGGCAGTTTTTTCTCCTGCATTTTTTGGAAATTGGTGGTTCGCTGAACTCATCCATCGATGTAGGAGTTTTTTACTGTCCAGCTAATTATTTTATAAGAGTTCGTTGTTAATCTGAAATATTTTTTATTTTTTCTTATTTTCACAATAGCACTAAGTTTTTAATGAAAGCGCTCCTTGGGCCTTATATATACAATTTATTTATTTATATTTCATGGCTTTCCTCGTTTTCCGCCCTATCAAATCTACCCATCAGGCTGTGTAATCTTATTGATAGCGAGACGTCGTTAATTAATATCGAGGTTCTGCCATGTTATATATTGCTACAGTAGCACTCGCACTGCTACTATATCACTATTAACCTTCACTCACCCATAGTAGGTGCCCAGAAATAACTGAAGCGCCTGAATTTCCTATTTCTAGTACTGCAAGTACTGTTTATACTGCTGTTTCTAGCAATGCATCTGAGTGATAATAGTGATGCTAATATTCGGTCAGAAATGACACTTATTGTAACAAGGTCTGGGAGTGTGTTCCGTTGATCACACATAGGAGTGTGAGCCTGGATATTTGCTATTCCCAGTAAAGCAGATGTTTGGAGCTCAGAACACACCAAGCCACTCTTTGATTTCTGCATTCCCAACTCTATCCACCAGGCTGTGTCATCTTATTCGCCGACGAAAAGTTATTAAGATGTAGGTCAAAATTTACGATGTCTTTATGTCGCATGGTGCCATTTACCGTTAACAAGCTTACGTTTTACTGTATCTTAAGTCCATCTTGAGGTTTCATAAGAAGTCTCCTGTGTAATAGGAGAGCAATCTGCCTTACAATCAACTAATATTGTTATCTGCTACAACTGGGTCAGTAGCTGATTAATTAGCAATAAGAATAACAGATGGGAATATGAGCTTTTCAAATTTCTCCTCTGTACGTGGTGATTCTGTAGGACAATTGCGATCTCCTGCGAGCCTGCGGCCTCTTTCTAGGGGATTGGAGATCAGCAGGTACAGGCAGATAACACTGGACTACACGACCGTTTCGGGGATCTCACGAGCGATATCTTTACTTATGATCAGAAATAACATCATGATAAGAAAGATTTCAGGGGGGAGAGTCGGTTGCCAAGGTGAAAACCATATTTTCGGAAATGATATTTTTTCGAATACTTACGCAGCCTTGCAAGAATTGTCCTTATTTTTAGATGTATAGATATCGTAACTGGAATTTAGGTAGTGTACTGCACAGTGCTGCATGATCTGTTAGCGACGCGGTAACCCTGGCTTTATTTCCACGGAGAATTGAACTGCATAGCTTTCTGTTCTTTAATGAAGTAATTGCTGTATAAAATTAGATAATTTCACTATCTTTGCTTCATCAATGCACCGAACATATTTTGCAGATTGGTCGTTTTAATAAATAGAAAAGTACAATAATTGTCCCTGAGGATCTTCTGAATTAGAGGTCATCAAGAATCACAAACTTCGGGCACGGTTTTCGGATGATTTGCCGTATCGTCAAGCATGCCATCGCTGAAACTTTTTAATAGAACGTGGAGATATGCAGAAGACGAGTTTGTTACTGTCAGCTTCGTAAATGCTCTTGTGCGCTTAATATTGTAAGTTTATATTTCATTCTTATAAAAATTAGAGTTCTGGTTGCGGGAATACTATTATTAACACAAGAAAATTGGATTTGTTATTCGCACACAGGCAGAAGGGTTTGTTTTATTTTTAACTTATTTAACTGAAGGAAATCTTCATTACCACTGTAGCGATCTGTTTAGTGCAAATATGCACTTACGTCGCAATGTTAATCATCAGTTCCCGAGGAGGAGTTATGCAAACAGAGAAAAGAAAACTGCTAACGCCTGTTGTGACGTTTCATATCATTCTGATGCCCATAGAATTTATTTTTTATTGTTTGTCTATATGGCAAAGCTGTTGGAATAAACTGCCGGAATCTGGAGACCTATTGCCCAAATGCAACTCTAACAACGCGGATGCGAGTCAAGTCTCAGCCCACGTATGTCTTGACGATTATCAAACTACCCAACATGCGGCATAGAGCAATTGAGATTTTTAGATACTTGGATGGACTGCTACTTAAATGCCTATATGCACATGTGCATGCCACCACAATGGGATGATAAAATGCACGTAACGCCTATTATAAGCAGAAGTTACCTAGCTAGACATTCTTTTGTTAAACATGGTTACTTAAGTTAATTGTTGCTTTACACAACCCATAGTTTGGCGATGAGCTGGTGGACCCGTGCCTAAATAATTCATCCTTTTCCTAAGTAAGTATATGCATTATATGCATGTATGTTTAAATAACTCGGATTAAAAATGAAGTATAAATAAATTAACTTAGTTGAAAAGTATGCCTATAATGTGCAGTTGAGAAGACGACTTAATCGTTGGGACAAAAACATTTATTAACGCGATGTTTTGAAATCCTCGCCGATTCTTCCTCACAGACATCAGCAGAAAGAAATAGCAGAAACTGGTTTACAGTTGATTGTAAGGGTTGCGTTTGACTACAGGAAGACACGAAACAGATCTATATCAACTTTAGCAAAACGCTGGCACCCTTAATTTGGCCGATTTCGGCCACGTGGGTTGTCGTCTCTTCGTGACCCCTAACACCCTCACGAAATTTGTGTACATCAGGAAGCCAATTGCATCGGTGTGCGTCCATGTCTGAAGGTTCATAAATACATTAATTCGATGTTCAGTGGATCATAAATAAGTAAATGATGTTGAAATATAGGCCAACCACACTTTCAACGGCACTGCCTATCATAAGCGATAAAAATCATTCTGTGCAATGTGCAAAACATATGGCGAACGAAAATGGCACAAAAAACAATTACGTATTTTTCCGGATATTGTTTGATTCCAAGCGTGCAATAACCAAAGTGTAATTCATTTAATTATGGTTTGCATTGTATTGTAAACGCATAGTCTACGGTTCGTGTCCACTATATACGTAGATTGTCTTTAGAATCTGATAATGTACAAGGCCGTTTATGTCCATTGCACAGGAGCACATAGATGCTATGACATTTAAAATTCCATATTTTTAATGAATACCATGCGTTGTCTTAAATGGTATATAACATGTATTCTGGAGAAAATGTCTTAGAGAAGGTAGCATAAAACAGCATGTATGAGAAAATTATGTTCCCAAGAAGAAGAAGACTCGATCGCTGGAACAATACGTTAATTCGCCGGACGTTTCGACATCATGCGCGGATTCATCATTAGAGACACGGGAGAGCCAGATGGCCGAGCAATCATCACGCCCGAGCCCACCGCCCATTATGAAAGTTCAACAGGCCAGAGCTCGCGTGCCGTCCAACTATCTGTACACGCGCACGAAGGCAAATAACGTTAATTGTTGCCATATGTTTGCAGTAATGACTGTATCCTATAAATACTGCAAACGTTTGTGCATGCATTACCCGTTTCCGCTACTGTTTCCTGCCTGTGTCTCTGATGATGAATCCGCGACGGATGTTGAAACGTCAGGCGAACACGTATTGTCTCAGCGATCGAGTTTGCTTTTTCTTCTCAGAAAATTGTATCTGGAAAGTTTAAATGGTTTATAATCCCATTTCCATTTACTGTTCCCCAGATTAGCATAGGCGTGACTTCGTGCTTCGAAATAGAGAAAGTTAAGATAAGTTAAGACTTCCAGCATATTTAAGCAAAATCAAATTTTTTCCTTGGATTATGTGCACAATACTAGATGCTAGATTTGTATTAACTTGACATTTTTATAAATGTGCAAACCTCTCCCTCTTTATTACACCCCTACTTTCCTGTTTAGGCACTAAGATCCCGGTCTAAAAAGGCCATTTGAAAACAATTTATTTTAACACGTTTTCAGACATCTCACCTATTTTAAAGTGGTAGATCCTCAACTAAAATTGCATTTTATTTCAAACATGTAATAGTATGCCATTAAAATCTCTACAATATTGGCCTTCATATATTTTTTATTTTTATTTAGCCACCGTTAATCGCAGTTATTTGTTGGTGCGTTATTGACATTGCCGTCCTCTTATTTGCTCTCATTGGCTGGGTACGTCATTACGACAAATACGGTGCAGAAAAGTACAAATTTTTCAACAATATCTACTACGACAAGAACCCAAGTCATAAACTAACAGATAGCATGGAAACCCTTCTGAAGAATATGCATTCGGTTTATTTGGAGAAATGGACACATTTTGTCCGGAAAAAGGCGGCTATGTTAACTGAAACTGAAGAAGAAGAAATGAAGCAACAAGCGATAGAGGAAGCTGCATCATCTCTTGCCGATTTTATGTCGGTAAATGCTGGTGACCATTTGTTTTTACGAAATACGCAGTTTTTTCTTATTGGACAGTTTTATTAAAATTGATATATTTTTATTGAAGGTAAACTTACTTTAATCCATTTTTGTAGAACGTATTATTAGCGGCTGAAACGCTTGCATCTATCAATATCTTATTTAATCAATAGCATGCACTCAGCCGCGTATTTGAAGGATGCTTACAAGTTTAAAAACTCTACTTATTTTGCTTGGCATGCCAGTTGCCTAATAGGCTTTATGACAACATAGATGGCCACGTTTTGCAAGGCAGTGCACAGTCTTGTCCACGTTAGCGCAAGGACAAAAGCAACAAGTCAAACCTTTTATTTCCTATTGGATTGAAGTGCAGACTTCTATGCATGAAACTGCTAGATTTTGTAACCTTTCTCCCGCAACTCAATTTAAGGCGATTATAAGCACTGCATGGGTAAAGTAAAATAACACATTAAATAAAGGTCCTTTCGTTTTGGTGGCTTCGAATAAATAAGCATTTCAAGAATAAGCCTAGTTGATTGCAGTCGTTCTTGACTTTTTTCTCACAAAAGCCTTTTGTTATCTGACGTGACAGGAGCTAGACCTGACGAAATCCGATGTTTTCATGGGCCTTCTGCTTCTAAGGTGGCAGTCACAGCAGTGGATAGGGAAAAATTCAACCTTAAAGGCCCAGTACGTTCTGGAGAACACTGATCCTATAACTACCGATTTGGCCGCTAAGGTAATTCATAGAGAAATATTTTTTTCGCGTAAATCAATAAAATTTGGAAGCCTTTACTTTTAAATCTCGACAGCCTTTTACAATTGAATACCTATTGTCGCTAAGATAATAGTGGCCGTAATGTGTTGAAGCATACCTTTAATTGAGTGCCTTTAAATGCATTAACGCTGAAGAAATGTGAACGTTACGACTTTGAATCCGTATCCTGTCTGTTAATGTTGAAAGCTTAAGTTACTATACAAAAAGAATTTCACTTTTTAACAGCAAGCACTTGAAAGCACATGCATTTGACTGACTTCTTGTTTGTTTGTTACTCTTTCTAAAAATTACTGTAGCGTGTTTGCTCCATTTCTACCTTCTTTCAATATGCGAAATTGAATTGATATTTGAAGAGTTCGATAGACACCGTTGAGTTTAAATATTTTAGTTCTTCTTATACAGCGATGTCGCAAGTCAGACTTTAAGTAATTTGTTGCCTAGAAAACAAAATTACTCTGGAACGGCAGTTTGAAAAAGTTTACCCTTTTTAAGGACAATGCAAATATGTACCCTTTTAGCCCGAATCTCCTCTTACATGAACTTTGTGGATAAGTGCATAAAATAAGCTGCCCGTCTTTCAATGAATTTCAAGTATGTTAAATAATATACCTTATTTTCATGAAGCCAATTGACCCGAAATCCATGCCCCCACGGGAACGCCTTTCTCGGGACTGGCTTCACATTAACCGAATTCGTCGTTACATGCATTTGGCGCTAGCGTCGTATGGCTGGGAACACCTTGTCGGATTTAACCCTTACAATTTAAAGGCAAGACGAACAATGCGCCGATATCTGACTCCTGGGTGAGTAACGCTTGCAGCTTTGCTTCCTGCTTTCCCTGTTAATTATCCTGCTTCTTGTAAATTCAACATGGAATGAATTTGAACAAAAAGCTTCCTTCTAAAAAAAATAAAACAAATATTTCTCACGAAAAACGCAAACTTGCGTATGAACCGCTTCAGATTCCAGCATCGCATATGGAAAACCTGTTTCTGAATTTTAACACATCGAGACCAATTTAACTCTTTAAACGCTGTAAAACTTTGTTGGAGAACAGTATCGCATTGCTATAAAAAATGAGGTGTAGAATAATCAGCAATATTATCCAACAGTCCGGAAAATGGTCTTTAAGGAACATCTATGTAAATAAAAACGCAAATGCAATCGAGCAGGTGTACTTGTCTTAGAAGCTATCTTACAAACTGCGCATCGTTCAGACTGTAAGGACGTTTTGATTTTCAAATTCAGTAGCTACCTAATTTTAAGTTAGTTATTTATTAAACCACATTTATTTAAGAACCAATTGTTTTGCTCTAGTGCCCTTTAAGGTAGCGCACGGCTTTTCAAACAAATAAGCACTTAAAAGACGGAAAGAGGTACAGCTTGACGGTTTTATATTTCCATTTGCCGTAGTGTTAATTCATTGCGGGCATTGTTTTCTCATCAGTAGTTAAACACGCGGAAAAAATCACAATGACTCAAACCATTAAGGGCAGTGGAAAATATGCCTTAATTCTCGCGGGAAGCTCCTCTCAGCAGCAAGTGGTAAATGGTAAGAGACATTAGTATACGCCTATAGACCTTAAATATACTGATATATACAGCAAACTGAAATGAATTTCTCCGGAGATTAAAAAGCTGAACTTTCATAACCGGTATATCAACCAGAAAGCAGACAGAGAAAGCTGAAGGACTCACTGATAAGCCGGAC